ATTTAGATCTACGTACACTATGAAATGTATACAATACAATTTTTCCGGCCTAAACTCATAAAATTTATTTTATGTATTTGGATTCTAGATCTAGACTAGATTCTAAATCTAAATCTAAATCTACGCAATAACTAGACTAGATCTAGACGTAGACGCTAAGATCTAGATTTAGACTCTAACTTCTCTAAAATCAATTCCAAAAATAAATTTCTATATTAGGACTAAACTATTTCAAGACTTATTTATTTTATACAAAATCTTTGTTTGGAACTGGCTAATTTGAGATAAAAAAAATTAATTTGAAAGAATAGGCATATTCGCGTAAGTTAAGATTTTAAAATACGTGTTTCATTCTCCAAATATTATAAGGTGCCTAAATAGCGGAGATGTTAGTGTACATTAAACCACGCAGGTGGTGCGGGTTCGAGACACACCAAGTCAACTTGGTTAATGTATTTTTTTTAATTATGCTCGGGCTAAACTTAAAAAAAAAATTCTTTTAGGAATCTAGATCTAGATCTAGATTGTCGGGTGTCCGATAGGGCACTTCCCGGCGCCGCAGGCGCTTCAAATTTGGCAGGATCTTGCCTTGGGGCGACAGAACACGAGGGCCGGTTGGCCGAAAAGTCTACGATGAGGGGGTCAAAACTGACCTCGACTGAGCTATAAATCGAAAAAAAATGTCCACGGAGGAACCTCTTCATATCTCTTGAGGTCGTAGACCGATCCTCGGGCGAATTAATTAAGCATTCAAATTCTCAATGTTTTCGAAAGCCTAAGCGAAGCTGGGCAGCATGCCTAGTTTTATATAAAATCAGAAGCAATTTTATAAGTGTCCCCAGAATCCGGAGACATTTAAAAAGTGTCCCCAAAATCCAACACAATTTAAATATGTCTCCCGAAATCCGAAGCAAATTTACAAGTGTCCCCAGAATCGGAAACATCTAGTTTATTGTTCGGCGCTGAAAGTTGTTGATTAACAAATACGGACTTCAACAGATTACAATTTTAACAACTTGATTTTTCTTTTCATTCTACGAAGTTAATCGCAGGTTTTATAGCAGTGGTTCCTAGCCTGGGTTCCATTGAGCACTAGGGGTTGTGGTTCAGCCTCAGGGTTTCCAAGTAAAGCTAAGCACATGATATCAGCCTCCCTTATTAATTGCAACCAGCCCATTTAATACACTGGGCACCAAACCGTGTTAAATGTATAGTACAGGCCACACAATCTACAACTAACAACATAAGGAACACAATTCATGTAATATGTTATTTATTCTATAACATCGTACAGTATTGTTGTATCTTAGCTGTGTAAACTACCACAAGTTGAATGTTTCATTTGCTGAGTATATCAGCCGTTTGTTTTAGAAAATGTTTCCAAAAAAGTATCCACTCGTTGAATGTTCCATCTGCTGAGAATATCTGCTGATTGTTTTAGAAAATGTTTCCAACGCTTTATTACAAGTTGAATGTTCCCATCTGCTGAGTATATCGGCTGATTGTTTTAGAAAATGTTTCCAGTTATTTACAAGTTGAATGTTCCATCTGCTGAGAATATCTGCTGATTGTTTTAGAAAATGTTTCCAAACGTTTATTCACTAGTTGCATGTTCTTGCTATACCATATCAAGGTGCAGCTTACGAAACACAAAAACAGTTAATGAACAAAACCAATTCATGGCACAAACGTGTATCGCCATGATATAATACAAGTACATGAAAAAACTCATTGAAGAAACCTGCACCAGCGTTTAAGAAAATAAAACACCGAAGCAAGAAAATGTCCACTTGTGCAGCACAATTAGTGAACACGTTAGCTCTTAGATTTTTCTCTTCTTCGTCGGTACCGCGAGATTGTCCATCACGTTACCGCGTCGTTTTCGAGAGAGTGAAGGTTTGGCATTGTGATCATACGATGTCGGGCTGTATTCAATGTCCATCGGATCCACGCCGTTGTAATCAGTGTCCATTGGCTCCACATCGTCTACTTCTGCACGGGAACGGCGACTATTGTATTGATCAACAGAGGTTGAGCGAACATGTATTTCAGTAGTAACTACACTGAAAGATTGGTGACTTTTAAGCTCAAGATGAAATTGTTGAGACTCTAATACTTTATTATTTATTGTGAAATTCATTTTTAATTCTGTACCGAAGAATCTTCAAAATCCGGAGTAATTTTATAATTTGCACAGGTAAGTTGAAGATTTTGTTAGTAGAATGCGCTACTATTGCAGTTTATATAAGATCATTTTATAAGGACTTAGAAATTTTGTAGGACTTTTGTGTTTTTCATCGGCATCTTTGATAACTTCGGATATAACATATTCGTGTTTTGAAACAAATATTGTAGAATTGTAGAAAGAAAGTTAAAGTCCAACATTTTTCCACATTTACTAGCGTGTTCCGAACTCGTAAGTTCTAGGTTTTAAAGCGCGCAGTCAACCTCTAGACCACGCAGACTTACATAGATATGAAATATTTTTAGGCCTAACTCAACTCGAAATCAGGATAACATTAGATCAATAAATCAGAAAAAGAAACCAGAGGCGTATGCGCGCGTTTATATAAATATATGTGTGTGTAACTGTGTGTGTAAAAGCGTGTGTATGCGTAAGCGTGTATGTGTGTGTGTGTGTGTGTGTGTCCGGACAAGGTTTAATAATTACAGTGTATGATTTTCGTTCCTTAGAACTTTAAACCAATCAATTTCCCATTAAGATGCGTTTTCCTTTTACAAAAGATTAGTTATGTCAAACAAAATATGCCTGATCTGAGTTAGAGGGTAGTTTGTAGCTAACGCTAATTTGTTTAGACCAGCCTTTTATGTTCTATTTATGGAACGATCTCTGTTGTGATATGGTACATAGTTGGATCATAAGTTTGTTAGAATAAGGACATAGAAGTGACATACAAGAGCAACTGATCAGAAACAATTATTGTTCGTATTGGAATACGACATGGGTATTTCGTCGACTGTTTAATGGTATAACTAAACAAGCTAGAGGAAACAAACTGGAATCCAACGGATGTTAACAGCTCGAAGTCTTGGATTTCTCAGATGTGCGCTCATGGCGTTCTGATTAGAATCAGCAGCAATAAAACGCGTTTTAAACTGTAAGACAATGTGCAACTAAAATGCATTGTAAATAAAATGTATTCAGGATCCATAGCTAAATGTTAAGTCTCTTTTGTTGTATGGCTCGGAGCTAGGTTATAGACAGTGGACAATGAAATAAGAGCATGGAGATAGTGGTGGTTAGGGCAAAATATCAGAAATATAGAAAATAACATCACTAAGCAGGTGCTGGTGTAAAGTCCACGGCAAAAGAGGAAGAGAAGGTGACAAAAAAGTCCTGAAGGAAATCGATTGAAATAGAAATGGGGGAGGCTGGATTATTAGGGTTCTATATTCATAAAAATCAAGTGAGTTGACGAAGTGTTGCCTACGCCTATGCTCTTTAGGAAACCGAAATGAAAAAAAAAAGAAAATCGAAAGAGCTTAGAGCAATGGTTCTTAACCTGGGTTCGATCGAACCCAAGAGGTGCTATGTAAGTCTCAGAGCTTCGTCTGAGGTCAAGACACACACCCGACTCATGATTCACGGTCGGATTGTGTCAATGTGGCGATTAAAACTTAATGAAGTATTTGGTGAAGGCGCATATGAAGCTGGTAAGGTTCGGTACCTCCTAAAAGATTAAGAACCACTGCTTTAGTGTGTAGTTTGTATATAGTGCAAGCTTATTCTACTTTTGGTTGTGTCTTTAGAACAATTTCGATAATAGGGTATTATAGTTTAAAATTATCAGTTAGGTTGAACAAAGCGACAAAGCATCAGCTGTTGTCGTGTTGTTCCATTTTTTTACATCGTTTAGTAGGTATAGTGGCTTTAATTATATGAACATTGCAGTATTAGGACTTGTTATGAAATAAGCAATAACAAAATCATCTATTCCGTACAATAGACTTGTATTTTTAGCTCTTAAAATTTCGGCACGAGTATCGTCTTCCACCCACCCGCTCCGACCGTATGCTATTTTACTGATCGGATAGCGATTGAAGAATCCGTGATATTTAGTTCTCTTTAATACTTCCAGACTGCCGGAAGAAACACTGTGTCGCGCCTATCACCTGTGCAGTAATGTAACCGGTAGCTCCCAGGAGCCCCCGTGGCTCCCCTGACACCTGGGCCATCGACGAGGGACTTACAGCATACCTTATTGAGTGCAGGTTCTACATTTATTTTAAACCCAGATTTTCTTGATCATGATCTAGAATAAGAATCTACCTAGATCTAGATTCTATCTTCCTTAGTGTATCTAGATCTAATACTAGAGAGATCTAGATCTAGTACTATTCTAGTATCTAGATCTAGATAATTAAGATATCTTAAATCTTTCATCTATTCTCCGACAGAGGCTAGATCACAGATCTAGTATTAACTACTAATTAAATAGTAACGTAAAGAAAGTGACTCATTGATTAATACAAGGGTAAAACTCCATTTTAGCGTATTTTATTCCCAGCTTTACGTTCACCTCCAGTTGAGCGTATTTTATTATAAACACAACCGAAACACACACAAATGTTAGGAAATCACTCTGCCTATTTCTTTATGAATTTTTTGCTTAGTTTTTTAAATTAATTTTGTCAAAACTTGAGAAAAATCTAAAGTAACTAAAGTCTAAAGTCTAGTAGATCTAGATAATATAGATCTGTAAAGTTTATACATATTGCACTTGTTTTGCTTTTTAGTATTTAGAAATTGTCCAGATAGAAGAGTAATCAGATATTTAATTTTTTAAAACAGTATTTAAAAAAAAACTGGCACCCCCACGAATAAAATATTTGTTTAAAGCATGATCAGTAACACGAAATAACAATTATATTCCTTTCAGTAGAGTCAGTGGCAAACAGACAAACATTGTGAATTAAAAGCTTATAAACTTTAGGAAAATAGGTGATGTTTCAGATAATATAAAATCAATAAAATATTGCGCTAATGAGTGTGTTTGATATTTTTGTTAAGGTATCTTGCGGTGTTTGATGGGGGGATGGCATAAGAAAGTCCACACCAAGCAAAATAGGTAATTTGAACATAAAAGTTTATTTTTTTGTTTTATTAGAAAGTTATATATAACTTCGCTTTTATGCTTACTTACATAACAAATCATTTCTGTTACAGCCAACAAAAATAGTTAGTCTGCATGCTGTGCTAAGAAAATTTGTGGAAATAGGATTGGGAAAACTTCATCTCAATTTGAAAAATGTTGCAGTTTGTTGATGTCAAATAAAAACATGCGAATAATTTCATGCACTGACTGTTACCCTGTTTGGAAATGGGCAGCAATTGTCTGTTAGAACAACACATCTCCATATGTTTAGTTTATGGCAGGTGAGAATATTTTGCAAACAAATTTAAGATTGTTGTTGTTGTATTAATTTAAAAAATGCTTAATTTTTAACCCCATACCAATCTGCCTGGCTAATGAGCTAAAGCTTGGGCTGGTAATGAGAGAGTTAAAGAGAGAGAGAATACTTTAGTACATTTATACAGTGTTACCAGGAATTGTATGAACACCAGAAGTGGCATGTGATATTGGTCTATCATGTGATGTATGTATGTATGTATAGGTGACATAACAGTTCATCACTTGATCATCTGGGATCAGAAATTTAAAATTAATACTGTTCTATTAATAGTATTATTAATATTACCACTCCTAAACTTGAATTTTTGAAAATCAAATATAATTCTTTTGGCAGAGGACACATCAGGAGCATTTTTACTGCAATTGTAAAAAGCAGCCCATAGTACTTTTCAAAATGGGTCCACAGGCAGACCTTCCCACATCACCAAAAGTAGCTTATCATTTTGATTTCCTCATACAAATGAGAAGTCTGCTAATATAATGCTAATACATCATTGCTGTAGACACCAAAGACCAATTCAGGTAAGTTGCTTACATTAAGTTACACACTGCACATTAGCAAATGTTTATCAAATCTCTCTTAATACAATTTTAATGTTCATCCAACAGTAGACTATCTATCCATCCATCCAACCATCCATCCATCTATCTAATATGACAACTTTAGCCCATAGATTGCTTTGGTCTGCTTCCCCACCATTTTCCTCTCCGAATCGTTCATGGTGTTTTTTTCTACCTCTTGATTTCTATCTGTTGTCGGTCTTCCTCCACATCATGGGATGGATTAAGACTTGATTAGGACCTAAGACCTTTATAAGTCCAGATATTTTATGTCAGTGCCTTTCCAAAATAGTGTCAACAATAAGTACTAATTAATAGGTATGAAATATTGTAACATCTACCGGCTCACTATAATTACAAAACATCCGTGAATCTGCGTGTGCTCAAGTATTGCTCATCAACGTTGAGGAATCCCTGTGTTTATAGTAAAAGAGGCATATTTTTCCACTTTCAAGATCTATGTTAAAATAATGAAATAATCTTAAAAATTACCAAATTTGCAGGCGTTTGGTTTAGAAATGTATCAGTAATTTGGTTAGTCAAAATCAGTTTTTCTTCCTGGCATAGAATGAAATGGAATTTATATAGAAAATACATACTTTTAACAGTGTGTTACCCCCCCCCCTCCTGAAATTTCAAGTCCTTTCCCCCCCCCCTACCTACCCCCCCCCCCCCCCCCCCGAGAAAAAAGTCTGGAAGAAACACTGGTCATAATTAATGGTTATTCTAAACCTAGACACAGAAGCACATTATTCTCCTAAAACACATGCTAAAAATTGGGTGAAGAGTATTGGACATTCCAGACACTCTGCATTCTAATGCTGCAGTATATTTAAGTATACATGATAGCTGTTCACTCTGACAATTTTTGTATGGGCCCTTCCCCTAAGCTATAGCTTGTGTGACTTGTATTAACTACTGAACTGTCCATGTCACCAACCCATCTCAACCTAGGCCTGCCTTTTGATATTTTCCCTTTGAGGTTTTGGTGTATCACTTTCACTTCCCTGTTGATTGGCATTCTTTCAGAGTGACCTGCCCATTGCAGTACTCCCTTTTTATTTTTTGTTACGAAATGAAAAGTCAATTTTGAAAAAGCGGACAGTAGACTGCAAATCTAAAAGTCTCAGGTTTGAAACTCTTAAATTGAGTCCTGAGTCCACATTGCTCTGATGAATACCTGATTCACATTTGGGAAATTAAAAGTAACTACACTATCGATTCATATACTGAGGTCATGTAAATAGAAGATCTCTACTTCAATTGCTCTATGGACAGTCAGGCCTGAAAGGGTTTCTTTACTTTTTACAATTCTGCCTTGCATTCAAATTTTATTTAATTTTTATTTAATCCACAGTGAATGGAAGGAGTTGGGTTAACAGATGCTGAAGATATGGCTGTGGGCGAAGATTTTCAAACTTAATAAAAAGATGACATCTGAAACTAAACATGACCTTTTTTAATGGACCTACTCTCTACGGAGAACAAAAGAATATAGAGTTAATCTAGGTAGACATTTTGATATCAAAATTTACTGTACAGCATACCTTTATTTTTATTTATCTCAAGCTCATATACACTGCAGTATATTAAACAGTTCAGAATTCACTGACAATTTGAAGATTGAATTCTTATGCTTGTCAATTGATGTTGGCTTATTTAAAAGGTGATGGTATGGTCAAATGGTAGAGCATTCAACTGCTAACCCAAAAGTCTCGAGTTCTGATCCCGGGCTTGTCCCTGAGTCCATCCAGCTCTTTTTGGAAAGTAAAGCACAAAGCATACTGCTGACCAAACTATCCTTTAATATGCCGAGGTCACTGAAAATATGTGAACTCTATTTTATCTGACCCATGTACGGTAAGGTTTGAAAGGGTACTTTGCTACCACACAATTGAACCCTCCATTATTATATTTAGTAGCGCAGCAGTGGTATAATTTTTTATTTAAAGCTATGTTTCATTTTATGAAATTACTCTCAACAAAAAAGCTTGAGGGCAAAATCAGTTTATCTAATATTTTATGTTTTCAAAGTTTGCTAATTAAGTCTTTAATACTCTATAAAGAAATATTTTAACTGTATAGTTGCAAGGCTTACATTACTTATAAGAGCAAGCATACTAAAAACACTGCATTAAACGTTTGTCAGAGTTAAAGCAACTTCATCCAGGGTATCCGTCGTTTCTTTAAAAATATCCTACAAAAGTTTTTTTTTTTATTGACTGAGGTTTTTTATGTTCTAGAAAGTTGGTAAAAGGTAAAAAATTACTTTAAAGAATTTTATTAGGTCCTGCTTCTAGCATACTTTTGATAACTTAATAATAATGAGACCTTTTCTATTTCCCATTTAGAAATCTTCCTAAAAGGATACTTTTCTCTTACGTAACTATGTAATAGACTTTTTAAAGGAGCAGTGTGTTTAAACTCTTTCAAATTACAATATTGATATATCCTTTTTTTTATTTATAAAAGAATTGGAAAGCAATTAAGTTCAATGTTCCAAAAAGATTGAAAACATGGGCCAAAAAATATTGTCAAGAAGTATTAAAAAGACAAAGTGTTTTAAAAAATATTTTCAGAAATTTAGATGAAGATAATTGATGAACAAATGATTTATGAATATCAAATACATTTAATTTTTTATGCTTGCAAACATACAATTACAAAATTTAAACCTAGGAATTTTCTAGATATTTTTAGATTAACATAACTTCTATTTTCTTCTTTAACTGTTTAAATGGTCTTTAGTTTTCTAAAGGCTGACACAATTCAATGCTGGATCTGTGTAGCTCACTATTCAGATCTGGCATTTAGTTTAGTCTAGTTACACAATACCTGGTTTAAAATGTATTTACCTTTAATGTATTGTTTGTTGTGTGATTTGTTTTCTAGTGTATTAAACCAATTCTACTTAAACCATACCTAGACCATCTGCAGCATAATCATCAGAGCCATTACATTCTTTGTCAAACTCTCTAAGTAGAAAATCCAGTCATAAATATTCCATTTTTAGAAACTAAGTGTAGAAACTGAATTTGTAAAATTCCATTTACACAAACTCCTGTTTCATAAACGCCTTTCTAAATAACCAATTGTAAATATTTGAATGTGTAGAAAGTCCAGTGATTAAAAATTGCATCAACTGTCATGGTTGAAACGCCATTTTTAACATAACTTTTTTTTGTGTGAATTTAAAATGTTTCAATGTTGGTATAATTCATTTATGATACAGTGTAACATAAATGAATTTTAAAAGATAATAATAACTTAATAATAATTAAAATTAATTTAATAGTGTCTTTTTTTTCTTCTATTTTTTATAGGATCTTATTGTTCATCACCATTACTATAAGGATCAAACTTTTATAATCAAGGAGGCTCATCCTGGTAGTTTGTGAATAAGATAGCACTGCACAAAAACTTTTTAAATTTGTATATCCTATTGTTATTTGGATAATATTTTATTATTTCAATAAAATACGTTTTAAAAAGAGCAGTGAAGATAAATCTTAGTTTCATTGCGCAATGTTAGTAATATAATTGGTCAGCAGAATAGAACTACGGGTACATATGTAACAAGTACCTGTATGTGACCCCTATATGCCAGCATTGACTTCACTTGCCATTTTTGTTTTGGATACATTTTCTTTCTTAACCACCCATATAAAATGAAGTTTAATTTCATTAAATATAAAGAAAGTATCTTTTACTTTTGAGTAATATTTTAAGTTATTCTCCAACTTAAAAATCCAAATATGCTTGGACTAAAATTTCCTTTTCAAACCTGACGGTCTATGGGGCAAGTGAAGTAGAGTTCACTTGTTTCTGTGACCTCGGAATGTGAAGAGATAGTGTGGTCAGCAATATGCCCAGCCACCTTTACTTTCCCTAACGTGAGTTAGGACTAACCACCCTAGAATTTATCAGCAATTAAATAATGTCCCTAAAATTTTGTATATTTTGTCACCTTTCCATATGAATGCTATGTGAATTGTTTTTGTAAATAAGCACATCGTCGTTAAAAACCTGCTGGTTGTTATACATAATTCATCAATTTTATGTAATTAGAAGAACGCCAGTTTATAGCGATTACATAGGCATGTTTAAACTGATTAAAACAAAGGAATTTTTAAAATTTTCATTGCTTTTGTTTTAAAACAAAAACAAATGTTTAACAATTCTGTGAATTTTTTTGTAACATACTTTTGTATAGGGGTTTCTTGTTAGTAGCTATAAGCTAGTGTATTTGTATTTACTAGGTGCTACATATAGGTTATTTGTTAAATATAGTTAAAGCTGGGGACAGCAACTCTTCTAGGAGAGACGACTCCAAAATTAAACAACTTCTGCCTTGTAGTTTGTTCTTGGTTGGACAAAGTCTATGGAAGCAAATCCAAAAAGAAAAGCTGGCTGAAATCGGAGTCAATGGCCTCAATGGCGCATAACCAGTTGACACGTAACGCTTAATTGTGTTGGAGGCGTGGTCGAGTCGGCAAAAAGGTCATGGTTGATAAATTCGAACGAAGTATCGAGTTCAAACCCACTGGCAGATAAATCTCGATCCCCTTCAACACTAATAATTAAGAACGAAGAAGAAGAAGAAGAAAAGGTAATAATTATTTACATGTAAATATATATATATATATATATATATATATATATATATATATATATATATATATATATATATATACATACATATATAGATATACATATATATATATACCTATACAAATACATATAGAAATACATATACAAATACATATACAAATGCATATACAAATGCATATACAAATGCATATACAAATGCATATACATATAAAAATACATATACAAATACATATACACAAATACATATACATATACAAATATTTATACAAATACTTATACAAATATTTATACAAATATTTATACAAATATATATACAAATATATATATACAAATATATATACAAATATATATACAAATATATACACAAATATATATACAAATATATATACAAATATATATACAAATATATATACAAATATATATACAAATATATATACAAATATATATACAAATATATATACAAATATATATACAAATATATATACCAATATATATATACAAATATATATACAAATATGTATACAAATATAAATACAAATATATATACAAATATATATACAAATATATATACAAATATATATATATAAATATATATATATATATATATATATATATATATATATATATATATACAAATATATATATATACAAATATATATACAAATATATATATATAAATATATATATATATATATATATATATATATATATATATATATATATATATATATATATATATATATATACAAATATATATACAAATATATATACAAATATATATATATACAAATATATATATATACAAATATATATATACAAATATATATACAAATATATATACAAATATATATATACAAATATATATATACAAATATATATACAAATATATATACAAATATATATACAAATATATATACAAATATATATACAAATATATATACAAATATATATACAAATATATATATACAAATATATATACAAATATATGTACAAATATATATACAAATATATATACAAATATATATACAAATATATATACAAATATATATATACAAATATATATACAAATATATGTACAAATATATATACAAATATATATATATATATATATATATATATATATACAAATATATATATATATATATATATATATATATATATATATATATATATATATATATATATATATATGTTGTTAAACAGTTTCCTTGCTTGCCCCCTACCCTTTTAATTATTTCTATATTAGAAAACAAACTGGATTTCCATTTTAAGAAATTTATTTATCTACATTTTCAAATGTAAATGTAAGGTTTAATTCTCTGGATATGTGCACTTCCATTTGCCGTCCGTGTTGTCTTTTCTAAGAGAAAAAAAAATGCATTTGATTATTTCCTAAAGAAAGTTGGTAGATTAATATAAGTTAACAATAAATTCAAATAAACATTGCCTGAGTCTATTGAACTATTACGGTAACCTGACTATAAGACTATGGATATGGACGACTGTAGGTATAAACGATCACAAAAATCATTCAATTGCTGGGGCCATGGCAATGTATAAACTCTTTGCTTCACCAGTTTAACACAGTAGATTATCCTTGAGCGTAAACACATGAAACTTGGCAAAATGCGCACATTGGCCGGCCAATGCGGGCTTCGGTCGCACTTCGGGCTATGACCGTAACATATTGCCGGCCAATGCGCGCATTTGCCGGCTCTCTTGGCCAAAGCCCGAAGAACTTAGCACTAAGATAATCTACAGCTCTACTGCGCATGTCTGATGTTTATTTACATTTGTTCTAGTACTTGAGCTGTAGATTATTTAGGCACATTATATACATATTTTATAGAAACTGCATCTATCATTAGTGCAAATGAAAAAAAAAATCATTATGTCTTACTCGCAAGTGTTTGGTTGACAACACGGTGGAACATGTATACCTAAGCATTCTGTCAAACTGTACGAGCATCCTAGCATAGTGCCAAATTCCTGCCTGCAAAAGTTATCAAATTAGAAATGTATCAATTTTAGGTCTCAAAAGGTTGCTGACCCCTGGGATAAACCATTATTATCTGAGTGAATAACGCCCCTTTTTTATCTATTTCGTCTCAACTTTTAAATTTTGTTTAACGAATGCAGATTTCGTTTGTGCTGGTCTAGTGGTAAACAGAGTGAAATATGAGCCGTTGATTTTTTTTAAAGTTTCTTGATTATATTTGGTCTTTTATTTAGGCGTAGACTAGACAAATAATAAAATAGAACGTGGAAAGACAAGGCTGTGTTATTCCGCCAATGAAATCCGCCCATAGTTAAACAAATAGAAAATAAGAAATATTGATAGAATGTATAATATAAATTACAATAAAAATTAAAAGCATAAAACTGATTTGTTATATTCTATTAAACCACACCCCCCCCCAACTTCCCCCTTTCCCCGCCCCCTCTTCCAAGCTCCTCAATAATCTAACTACATCCTCATATAGACAACTGTGACATACCTCTTTCGAATAACCTCTTCTGGGTCAAGAACGTAGGAAGCAGCTGATAAAATAATGGTTGTTTTATCGTGTTTTTAGATGTTAAAACTTTGATTTATTGTGATATTTAATAAACTAACTATTTATACCCACTGTACACAATTCATTTTTAAAGTTTTGTTCTAGATCTATATTTCAACCTTTTTTTTTAAACATTCGAAGCTTTTTTTATTACAAATAGAAATTTTTAAGACCATTGCCTCTGTTTTAAGATTATTATTTAGTTAATAATAATTATAATTCTTCAAACTAATTTAATATGATTCAAAAGTGTATGTCTTAAAGTTTTACTACGAACTGGAAAGAACACCACACAAATGTATTAAATACTTTACCTCCTAGTATAATACAGCAGAAAATACTTGCAATAGCTGGATTCATGGTGGTTCTGAAAAACATCGTGTTATCTGTGGGTTGCTGTAGATCTACACACACCAGTGGCGTAGGCAGGGGGGGGTTAGGGGGGGTCATAACCCCCCCCATAGACCCCTCGGTATATATAAAAAGTATGAGGGGGGGTGCAAATCGAAAGTTTGAGGGGGGGGTGCAAATCGAAAGTTTGAGGGGGGGTGCAAATCGAAAGTTTGAGGGGGGGGTGCAAATCGAAAGTTTGAGGGGGGGGGGGGGGGTGCAAATCGAAAGTTTGTCCCCGGGTAAAAATTGGAACCCCCCCCCTTGAGACGATCCTGGCTACGCCACTGACACACACACACACAATATATATATATATATATATATATATATATATATATATATATATATATATATATATATATATATATATATATATATATATATATATATATACTTGTATAGATTTTTAAAACTTGATGATAATTTGCAAATGTTAGCTGAATCACCCACTATACAAGCTAGGCCGTCTATAAAACAAGCAGGAGCCGTAGAAAAAAACACAGTATCTAGAGATGACTACTTTTAACAGTTGTTCATTTAACATTGACAGTAGCAACTTCCTTCACTTAAGTACCTATTTTGGATTAAACCCAAATGAAAGGCGTGTTTCCCGAAGTATTTGATTGGACAAAGCAAAAGCCTATGGCAGCTGAGATCGGAAAGAAAAAAAAATTTAACGCGGTGTAGGAAGCACGCTGCAAAGGACGCATTACAAAGTGACACGTCAGAGACTTGAATACAACCATCTAGGGCAGGGGTCTCCAAACTTTTCAGTCCGAGGGCCGCATTAACTATTAAATTTCAGTTCGGGGGCCAGTTACTTCCGGGCATGTTTTTGATTTTTCTGGGTAGAGTTCCTCAGCCATCACCAACAAACGATTTTTCCTCGGACAAAAAATTCTCCGCGGGCCGGATGAGAGGACTTCGCGGGCCGCATCCGGCCCGCGGGCCGTAGTTTGGAGACCCCTGATCTAGGGAGAAGAAACAGAGGGCGGCAAAGGCGGACCTAGAGGCGGAGTCTTATGAAGACTGAAAAAACAACATAGGAGTCCTTTTGATCAGCCTTCTTCCATTCATTTGTTGTCAGCTAACACTGAACAATTATAAGAAAAAAAAGAGAAACAGCTAATCTCTGCCTGCACTAACATTACACACTTAAGTAACCCCCTTGATACTGTACGCCTCTCTAATCACCCAAATGATCTAATTATTCAGGTTTAGTCTTGTTAGTTGGATCACATAAAGAAGTTATCGATCAGAATTATACACCTGCCACTAGCTAGATAAGGGGATGGGTGTTTAATGTGGTGAAGGTGTGTGTAAGTAGGGTAGGGTTGGTGTAATGATGGTGTAAGTAGAGGGTGTGTGTAAGTAGGGTAGGGTTGGTGTAATGATGGTGTAAGTAGAGGTTGTGTGTATGGAAGATAGCGTGGGTGGAAATATGGGAGGGTATGTGTAAGGGGTCAGGATGTGTGTAAGGATGAGTTGGTGAATAAAGGCGTGAATAAGGAGGGGAGGGTGATGTAAGGAGGGGAGGGTGATGTAAGGAGT